TATATATATATGTATGTATAATTATATATACATATATAGTTATATATATAGATATATATATATATATAGATATACATATATATATATATAATTATATATAGTTATATATAAATAACTATATATATATATATAGTTTTTTACGTATACATATATATGTATAGCTGTATATATATATATGATTATATAAATTGTTATATGTCTATATATATAGTTATATATATATAGTTATATATATATATATATAGTTATATGTATAATTATATGTATAATTATATGTATACTTATATGTATAATTATATGTACAACTATATATATATATATTTAGTATATATAGTTATACATATAATTATACATATAAAAAAATTTCTATTATAATATATATATATATACACATAAATTATATACATACATACATACATACATACATACATACATACATACATATAATTATATATGTACATACATACATACATACCTACATACATACTCAGCCCCCGCCCCTGCCCCCACCTCGTTGACAGACTGCGGTACACATACAGTGTGTTCCTGGCAGGTGACTCGGCCAAGATCGGCTCCTGTGACATTCAACCCTTGAGAAAAACCACGGCAAGCTGCAGTAATCTTAAACAGATCGTATCTAGAATCACTTGTGTCTATGAACAATCAAAACGCCATGTACTCAGGATGCACGAACCAGACGCGCGTACAAGTGAGCATAGCGGCGATGACGACGAATAGCGAAGCCAAAACAGATCGCAGTGATCAGGGGTGGCATGTATACAGACAGGCTTGGAGGTAGNNGAGGGGGGGGGGGGGTACCATTTATTGGTATTTATATTTTTATATGTACATACACGCATGCGTCCGCAGATCCAAGCGAGCCGCGAGAGATGCTGCCTCCATCCAGGTGGTGCATGGCCTCCGACAATCTTTGGTGTTTGAGGAGGCCCTGGAGGAGGATCGGGTGCTGGACTGCCCGGGGCTGCTGCCTGGCTTGACGTTTTGTCGAGTTTGTCATTCCTGCCATTTCAAGCTAGCGTCTCACCGTAGTGTGGCATGTGATGCCGCTTATATTCAGTGATCTGGTCCTGAGGATCATGATCAGCGAGAAGAACATCATCGCAAAGCATCCCAGCACCCTCACGGGCGAGGCCGTGGTGGTGGGCTCCGATGCTGGAAGTTTGCGCCCCAGTCCGTCCCGTTATATGATCCGATTTGGATGAGCGGAACCTCCAAGGCTGTACTCCGTGCGCGACGACAGTTCAACTGCCCTCCGAGGTATCCTCCGCACCATGTCATCTGGCAAGTCACCATTGCTCGGGGGATCTAGCTCTGGCGGCGGACGAACTGGTGCACGAGCGGGGCCGATCGTCATCAAACCGCGGGACGCCCGAAGTAGACATGCCAAGCCAAGACCCGTCCGGGAGCTAGTTGCAACATGCCCCAGCCATGGACTTAACGGTTTGATGTCATCGTGTTTTGAGGCACAATGGTCTGGGCAGAGTACTGCGGGTTGAGCTGTGTTCCGGTGGGAATGTTGTGGCAGCCTGCAGCGGAGTAGCAGATGCGTCTGCCCCAGATTCTCTTTGAGATCGGCAGTGTTGCTACGAGGAGTATCGCTCGACCTTCCAGACAGTTGGGTTCTTGGAGAACCTGGCCTTGCAATGTCAATGAAGGGATGGATGAAAGCTTGTACACAATTCCGGTTGCCAAGGCGGGGCTTTGGTCAGGTAAGTTGCGCACAACGAGTTGAATGCGACGTCTTTCTTCAACAGCCACCCCTTTGTCTCTAAACCCCGATGACCATGATTCACGAGTTGACGCGCTGGCCTACCCAGGAACGCGTGGCCTCGCTATCCCAGCGCTTTCGACATTGGCTATGGAACTGGCTGGATGCCCAGCTTCTTGCGGCTTGGAGGCAATGCTCCTCTTTGATGCTGAAGCCCAAGTTCGGAAACGAGCCCATGCAAGAAAGATGGGCGAGGAACTTCATTCGAGTAAGAAGACAGACAGCTAACACTTCAATTTTCAATCTTTCTCACTTTAGGTGGTACAACTCTAGACAGGAGGTGAGAGCCTTTCGTCGTATGAGGCTGCTGAACTCCTTCTACCCCGTGGACAACATCATCAATGCCTTTGCGCAGGGTGCTTCGGCAGGTACCGAGTAGGCCAGTAAACCCAGGAGCCCTCAGCCTCCTGGCCAAGACCCTTGCCAGGACCTGAGTTTAGTATGCCGCATTCAATGCCCAGGCGCAGAAACACTGCAACTTCAAGTGGCCTACCAGACGGTGCAGGTTCTGGGAGGAAAGAGAGTTGCCTTTTGACAGCAAGCATCTGTCTTCGCCGAAAACCACGAACCGATGGCAAGTGTTTAGTTGACGCATTTTGTGCAGATTTCATTTGCTCTTGTTTCCTGCTAAGCTTAGGCAGACAACCTCCTGGGCTTCTTGCAAGCTCCATTGTATGGTCTCGTTCCATACTGTTGTGAAGGCTTCCTGCTGCTTGTCTGCACATCGGTAGGTTGGCACCTGCCCCGTGCCCTCGACTGACGTGATGAAATAGTCCTTACTGTTGTGGTTCAATATTGGCGACGAGGTACTTGCTTCAGATGGCATCATTTCTCCTCCTTCCGCTCCTGCTTCTGGTTTTTGGCCTTTGCTACGAGCTGGTCGGCATGTTCTTCGCAACAAACCCCGAGGATGCCGCTTCACGAAGAGTGTGCTGTCTCGTTCAATTCGACCCTGGCTCCCTGAAACCTTAAACCCCTAAACCCTCCCACGCCGGCTCGTCCTCACCCATGGGGGAGGTAACAGCACCTTAAGCATCCTTAAGCCATACGCGTTTCATCCTCAGGAGTACGACGTCGTCCTGCGTTCGAAGTCCCACATTCCTGACATGACCTTCTCTGGTGTTGTTTCAGGCGGCCAGCGCCCAGATTCCGGAACAAACTGCAAGTTCAGTGCTTTTGCAGGAAGCCCCACGACTTGGCACCGTGTTGTCTATGATCACTGCGGCATTGATATAAAGCGGACCACGAGCCTCCAAGCCAAGCAAACCCTCCCTGGTGTTGGTAGGGTCGCAGTCTACAGGCTTCAGAGTTGCTGTATCCGAAGCCTATCGTTTCTCGCGAAGTTAGAAGCATCATTGAGCACTCACAGTACGATGTACCCAACCCTAGAGAACGACAAGACAAGAGTTGCAGTCGCCTTCGTCCTGCCTGGGTCGTCGTCGTCGTCGCCGTCGCCGTGAGAAACAAACATAGCACAGGCGCAGGCGGAGCGTCGGCAAAGGAAGCGCCGGAACTCGAATTGGCAAAACAGGAAGCGGCATAGCATGCCTAGCCGAAAGCAAAGAAGGCAAACCAAAAGATGTAGGGCATTTCGGCTGGTGGCCCGTCGAAGTGACACCCATCAACGATCCCGGATCATCCCGGAGAGGCCACACGCTCGAGGATTGGCTGGGCGGCCTCTCTTCGGTGTCCTACGTCGCACTGCTGGGCAGCGCGGGGACTGCCGCCCTCATGCTCGCGTTGATCTGCGAGTCCAACTTCTTGAGGTGGGAGGATGTTTTGACGGTTGGGCGGTGTGAGGAAGGTTTACGGGCCTGGTGGTGTTCGTGAGGAACTTGCCGCCCTTCGACTTCCAGCATTCCGTTCACCGTCTCATCAATGCGCTGGGCAACATCATTGTGACCACGTACTTGTGGGCAATACTGTCCTTTGTTATCTCCAGCGTGCTGTGGTTCGCCATGGTCGTCGTCATCTACCCAGAGCAGGCTTTGTGGACTCGGTGGGAAGCGACATGCGTAGCTCTAAACCTTCCTAGATCTGGTGTTGGCTAGCATTGTCAAAGTAACTCGTTCTGTCGGGTCCGGAAATCAGCTTGGTCTTTGGCAGATGCTTACGGCGCTTGCCTGCGCGGGCGGTCTCGCGGCTGTGTTTGCCACCATGATTTCTGGCTTGAAGACGACGAAGGACTGAACTGAACGGAAGGTATTTTGAATCTGCAGCCCTGAGCCTATGTGAAAACTTTCGGTGCCCTGTAGCCATTGTGACTCAAGAGCAGCTTGCCCGTCCCGGAAGACATGTACCGGTTCTTCTGCCTCTTGCTTGCTGCTGGCATCCCGAAAGCCGCCGCAACGTGCCTCAAAGCCCAAGCCTACGGTACCGCAGATCAGAGGGGCAAACCCAACAGCACGCACGTGAAGGATGCAAAGGCCTGCCAGTTATCCTGCTCGAACTCGAACTGCAAGTTCTTCACGTACGACACGAGCACCGGAGATTGCTGGCATCTGGGCCAGGTCTACTTCGTTCAGATGCAGGAGAATGCCATTTCGGGGACCGTTGACTGCCTCCTTCAACGGAGGGATGAGGACTCAAGGAAAGAACATGTCATTGGTTCCCTGAAGAGAGCAGCCGAGTATGTCCACGATCGGACGACATCTGTCCAGACAAAAAAGTCGGCTAAGCATGTGAAGTGGTCCTGTGAGAATGACTTTCTGGAAGAGGAAAGTTATCAGAGTGTGCAAGATGTGATGTCGGGTCTTTCAGACCTGGTCGCCTCGCCGGATGGACTTGTTCAAGCTGCGTCGCACGGGGCCGTCCTTACAACAGATGATGTCCACTGGCTCACAGAGCACATGAAAGGTGAGAGTGTCGAGATGGACATGACGGGGTACGAGGATGCAGAGCCAGGTGCTGCCTCCGTGGCCTGCGGCTCCGGAAACGTTGGGTGTGACCAGGTGAGTGGAAGCTTTGGGGCAGGCACACCTTGGACTGGTGCCAGGGTGAAGTACTGTTTCGACATCCAGCTTGCATCAAGCAGCAGGCAAGCCCTGCAATGTGCCATGGAGAAGATCCGAAGTCATGTTCCTGGCATCGTGTTTCAGGACGTGGGGTACACCGGAGTCGACTCATGCGGTGCTTCGCCGGCAATTTACTTGCAGTCAAACGGCCGCCGCAGTGGCAACGGCTGTTGGTCAGACATTGGCATGTCGTCTTCCTTCTTTGGTGGGAATCAGAAGCTGAACTTGCAAGCTCCCGGATGCGACAACTGTGGCACTGCAACCCATGAGCTGCTCCATGCCATGGGCATGGCGCACGAGCAGTCAAGACCTGATCGGGACGACTACATCAGCATTCTGTGGAACAACATCAAAGCTGGAATGGATGGTCAGTTTACCAAGAACTCGAGAGCGGATACCCAGCGGCCCTATGACATCATGTCCATCATGCACTACGGGTCACGGTCGTTTTCAAAGAACGGTCGGGACACCATCCTGGTAAAGCCCAAGGGTTACCAGGTCTACACGACAGACCCTTCGCAGTTCCAATACTACCGCGTTGGTCAGCGGATGGGAATGAGCAGGTATGATGTTACTCAACTCGCGGACCTCTACGGCTGTCCTGCACAAGAGATGTATCGGGCCTGCAACCCTGCGGCTAACGGGGGAGGTAGTGGCAGTGATCACAACTTCCTTGCCAAGGTGTTGCAACCTGGCGCGATCTTCTCCGATTCGGGCTTGGTCATTCTTGTCGTCGGGTTGCTGGTGGGTGTGGTTTGCTGTGGTGGCGTCGTCTGCTTCTGCTTCATGGGTGGCGGTGGGGGATCAAAAACATCGAGAGCGTACTACAGGGTGCCTTGATGAGATTTCGTTTCAATTGCGCCCAAAGTGGCTTGGTAAAGTTGACATGAACCCTCTAGGACATCCGGCTGAAGGTCGGCTATGACTTAGATGCACATGCTAGTTTGCAGTCGTTAAACTGACAGCGACTGGCTTGCTGGCAAAATTACTGTAATTTTGTCTCCAAGAAAATCACAGGCTAAACGGCCACAAGGCTGCAATGATTCAGGTACGACATGGTGCCTCATACAACGTCCCGTTGTCTGTAGGTATTCCAGCTTTGATACAAAACGAAATGCAGCAGTTTAGGACAATACTAGGTCGATGCCACAGCTGCGCCTGGCACCTGCTGCTGACCATGCAAGCCCGTTTCACCATGACCGGAGCAGCTGTAGCACACAAGCATAGAAAACAAGCTGGAGCTGCTGAGCCGTGTCTTCTTCTCATTGCGTGCTGCGGTGGAGCTGAGAGGGGCCAGGAAGGGTCTGAAGCTGAAGTCTTGAGCACGCGCACGGTGTCGCTTCCACGGCAGCTGTCTCCTTCCCCGGAAGGATGAGCTGGAGCGGTCCCTGCGAGAGGAAATCCCTGAGGTCTTGGAGCTGGCCGGGGCCCTCAGCCAATCAGATACCCGAAGCAGCGCTGTGTCCCCAAAGCGCAAAGTCACACCCAAGCAATCACAAAGGTTGAGCTGTTATTGACTTCAATTGGCCTCGAGCAGCCATGCGTAAATGTTCTATCAATCTATCATCACGACTATCACGACTGTGGTATTTATTCAAACTTGTTCATCTTCGTGACCTTGTTTGCATCCTGCCGAAGATTAACGTTTCTGTTGTTCTTGCGGCCCGATGTTAGCGCTGAGAGAGAGACAAAAGGAACAAGGGAAGACTGAAGCAGACGCAGAACAGGAGATATGCTGCAGGCCTGTGCCACTTTCCTGGATCAGTACGACAAAACCTCTTCTGGACGTTCCAAGGCAACGGGGCGATTGGACACACTTTGCACTTTTTTCCTCCTCTGCGGCTTCACGCATTTATGTTCGTCTCATACTGTCTGGACCGTCTGCCTCTGTAATACTTTCTATATGTACGAAGTGTGCACGCGAATGCATATATGCATGCCAGGACAGCCCCGCTCCATCTCACTCTGTCTAGGCCCTAGACCTGTCGAAGAGGCGGTGAGTGCCCAGTTCCGAAAGCTGGAAGAGTCCCTGGCCGAGTGACTCAGCGCATTATCACGACTAAACAGCATTGGGTTTACGTCTGCGGTTGCAAGTTGTGATGCTAAGCATGTCTTGTTGTTGTTGCGCATGTTATGACAGGGTTGGTGGCTTGTCCTTGCTAACGACAGTGGGCGAAACAATAGCAGGAGCTGGGTCGTGATTGAGAATGACGCCAATATCCCGATACAAGTAGCAGTCATCAGAACGGCAAGCTTAGCCAACAAAGCGATGGAATGGAGGGGCAGGCAGCACGACAAGAGTTGCAAGAGCAATAGGGTAGTGAGTACAAGAATAGCGTTCTGAGCAGAGCAAGGACAGTCCGATGAATACGAGTGCTAAGAACAGGATTATGAAAAGGCTGGAGAATGGCAAGCACAATAACGGAGACTTTGCCTCCTATCAAGGCCGGCCAGAGAAGCATTAGCACGAAGTGTGTTAGTGCTGCTTAAGATCAGCAGGGGTGCGAACAAGATTCTGAATGGTGAGAATAACAGCCTCATGGTTTGGGCCGAGGAACTCCTACAGATACGTGCGGGCACGCCTGAGCCAGAGCAAGGACGTCCAGGACGTTCCTGTGTGACGCTGTCATTTCGTAGCATTCGACCCCCACCGACGAAAGGGCTGAGAGGCTTTGTGGTGACGCCAGGAAATCATCGATGTCAGGAACAAGAAGCCGCCAAAAGAGGTGCTGGGGTGACTTGTCAGCCTTGGGAGGGTCGTTTTCAAAGCCCAGATGCCATTTCGAGTTGAACCAAGCTTGGAGCATGGGCACATCCTCGCGACACGGAAGATGTGCATAAGACGAATGACAGCGGTAGTCACCTCATCACCATCAACATCAGCATTATCATCAGCATTATCATCATCATCAACATCATCATCATCATCATCTGCTACTCTACCGCTCCTCCTCCTCCTACTGCCACTGCCACTGCTGCTGCTGCTGCTACTCCTCCTGCTACTGCTACCGCCGAAGCCTGAAATACCAATGTGTGGTTCGCGACCAGTTCGGAGCAGTCGTGGTGCCTGGGCAGTAGGTTTATCGATAGCATGCGCCGTCTGATTGCCGAGGAGTTTGTTCAATCGGGCCCTGGTCAAGCAGAAGAATTGGGACGCCATCACGGCCAGCGAGTGCCCTACCTGAAGCCCGATGGTTGCTTAGTGCTTCCAGTTCGAGGAAAGGTGGTATCGGTATCAGTAGGGTTCGGTGCCACTTTGTGCTCGCACTTGGATTCAAGCGGCTACTGCCATGTGACACCTGGTATTTGTCTTTGAGACCCCCAAAACTCAGCGATGCGCAACGCACCTGTAGGACTTCATGCATGTGCCATGTGTCAAGCAGTGTCCGGCTTGACGGCTTTGTGCCTGGGACGGGCCTTTCCGTACAAGGCGCGGTAGCAAACCCAAGCCCTTGCCAGCACCGCATGCACAGGACTGGTGATGGCTCCGCAGTCGAGACGACTGAGACCGTCCTCGAATCTTTAGGCGTGGAGAAGTGTCAGGGCGATCTAGCTTGAGGTTTGTAGATTGGATGTCCCGTGGCCGCAGATTTCGAAGTTTGTTCTAGGTCTCGCAGTCGTTTTTCCTGCCGCACTCAGTTCTCACACGCAGCCGTCAGACATGGTGCGTCGCGGCGGATACCAGCATCCACCTACAGGGAGAGAGCGAGGGATAGAGACCAGCCTTCTGAGATGGGCTCGTCTAGACGGCCAGGCTGGTACACTCCGTAGAATCCATGAACAGCGCGAACCCCGAAGTCTGCCTGCAGCCGGCCTGATATCAGGCCTGCCACAGGAAGATACGAGTGTCATGCCCTACCTGGATCTGTGGCTTGGACGCACTCCAAAAAGCTTTGCATTGACTTGCAGCGACAGGTGATGGGCTGTTCCTTGCCAGAATGAAGATGTGTTCTCGCGTTCCATGCCATGCTTTCCAGGCGGATGCGCTTGGAAGACAAGGAGCGTGAGGAGGGGGGCGAGAACATCCACACCTTTGGCTCAGAGCCGGTGCTGCATCTGAGACATGTAGACAAATTCGTTTGTAACATGAAACGCAGAATTTCACAGCTCACCCATGCATGCCGTCAGAACTGCGGGCACTGGCTTCGGATGTGCTGCATGGTGTTGTTTATGCAGGGGTTTCAGCAGCAGTGTCGCAGTGTCACACTGAGGATCTGCAGGAGAAACTGATGAAGGTCTACGTGCGCATGCAGGATGATGAAGTTCGTTCAGAGAGTCTCACCCCGCATGCCTTACGATTGCAGACTTTGTACGCAACGATCCGTGCGCCGACGGCACTTCAATTTCGCAATGCCGCGACCTTGGAGTTCCATGTGTAGGAGCGCCACATGGACGTGGCTCCAGATGTGGACGAAGCTCTTCGCAACCCAAAGAGGTTGGCAATCTGCAGCTTTGCCGCTGTCATAGAGTCCCTGACCTGCATGGCCTAGATGTGCGCATGTCTGTTGCTACCAAGGCATGTCCCGAGCCAACAGTGCAAAGTTCAAGGCCCTGGAGCGCATCAGCGAGGGCAAGGATGCCCGATCGTCGCTGCAGATGCTCGGACAAGTGGAAAGTGGGCACTCGTAGGCATATGCGTCGTATGCGACTCATCGACAGTCGTAAATTACTTGGCAACCAGGAGTTATTCTTAGTATCAGTGCATTTAGTCTTGTTGGTATCGCTTTGTCTGAAACTTTTGGCCATCGGAGTAAGGAGCAAGGAGGTAATACGTAGTAAGTAGGTGGTAGGTGGTAGGTGGTAGGTGGTAGGTGGTAGGTGGTAGGTGGTAGGTGGTAGGAG